TTTGGTCAATCTGTTTTATATAGGTGTGAACCTAACAAACAATTCAATGTATTCATTACAATAACTAGTTTTGACCAATCTGTTTTATATAGGTGTGAAGCTAACAAACAATTCAATGTATTCATTACAATAACTAGTTTTGACCAATCTGTTTTATATAGGTGTGAACCTAACAAACAATTCAATGTATTCATTACAATAACTATTTTTGGTCAATCTCATTGTAATGAATACATTGAATTGTTTGTTAGGTTCACACCTATATAAAAAACTAGTTTTGACCAATCTGTTTTATATAGGTGTGAAGCTAACAAACAATTCAATGTATTCATTACAATAACTAGTTTTGACCAATCTGTTTTATATAGGTGTGAACCTAACAAACAATTCAATGTATTCATTACAATAACTATTTTTGGTCAATCTATTTAATCTGTTCACTAAGTGGAAGTATTAGAATAGAAATTACCCTATCAGTAACTAAGTGTGAGATACTTTAAATAAGCAGTGGTTTACTTTTTTTTCACTTTGACGATAAAACGTGTCACATGATTTAATTCAATATGGTTTCAGTATTCTATCACACACTATATCACACTCCCAAATTTCTCTTGATAAAGCCATCACAGTAAATATTACTTACCTGCTCCAAGTACTGGGGGTGGTTTCAATAAATGTTGGTCTTTCACACAGAAATTTTGTGGATGGAAATTTTGTACAAATGGCAAGTTCTGAGGAAGATTAGTATTTGGCAAAGCACTAAGTGGTAACGTTGGAAGAGGTTTAAAATTATGGCTCAGTTTAGATTTACTTCCAGTAGATGTCCCCGAGACATGTTTATGATTTATATCACTTGGACCAACTGTATGGCGACGGATCACTTGGTAATTAAAAACAGTTTCTCTAGTGGATTCCTCTCTATCAGATTCCAGTGTGAACTCGCCAAACTATCAGAACAAAATGTTTTATAAAGAATTAATATAGGTTGTGTGTTTCACGCTAAAACAGTCAAACCTACATTTTTGTTTCATACAATCTTGAAAATTTGTAGTTATACAAATTTTACAATTCAGTTTCATTGTTAAACTAAAAAGAAACTTAATCTATATCATGTAACAATATGCACTGTTTAGTTTAGAAACTGAATTATTTTTGTGAAAAATAAGTTATTAACTTATAGCTACACATCTATTAAATCTAAGACACAGAAATGACAGAATCAGAATGTAGTTACTATTTTCAGACATCGAGATAATTTATGAAGTGCTTATAAAGATAATTTTTTAATATTATCTCACAAAAAGTAATAGTGAAATCATGTCCCTGTCAATTACCTGAAAGTAACTGTGAAATCATATCCCTGTCAATTACCTGACAGTAACAGTGAAATCATGTCCCTGTCAATTACCTGAAAGTAATAGTGAAATCATGTCCCTGTCAATTACCTGAAAGTTATAGTGAAATCATATCCCTGTCAATTACCTGACAGTCATAGTGAAATCATATCCCTGTCAATTACCTGAAAGTAATAGTAAAATTCATATCCCTGTCAATTACCTGAAAGTAATAGTGAAATCAT